GTACCACAGCTGTGGGGCCCACATCAATGTTCTCTACAAATCCCACAATATAACCTACATTAACAGAATGAAGCTTGTATTCTGTTGTTTATAAAAGGAGAAAAAAGGAAAAATAAGTCATGATTTTTCAACATATTTGTATTAATACACACATTTGTCACATACAATTACAAAGTCATTACTTACCTTGGAAAGCTGCTTTATTTGACCATATATCCACAACCCAAAAAGGCCAAGAAGAGCAAGGCCAAGGGTAACAAGAAAAACAGACTCAACACTGAGAAAGCCACTAGCCTCAACAACTTCAATGGTACCATTGTAGAAAGTGCTCTGAAATGGTTGCTGATCTATCTCATAAATGATTGTACCCACAAGATCAAATGATCCAGGCTGCAAGAACAGATAATAGGATGCTTGAGACATTTTTTTTATTTGATTAAAAAGACAAATATGCATAGGATCAAGTTACAATCCTCATTTGTTTTTCTTTTCACATAAATTCAAATATAAAGCAAAAGCCAATTGCTGATCAAACAATCAATTCATAAGATGCACACCAATTACAACAAGGTTATATACCTGCAAGTACTTGGAAACAGAAAATATATATGGAAAAGTGGCCTGAACAGAAGTTGGAACAGTTGCATTGTTAAAGACCTGAATCACAATCAAAATTATATGTTAATAAGAAAGGTGCCCAAAACAGAAAAAATACAAAAGTTAGAATACACATTGCAGTTAAAATGAAACCAAAGAAAACATGCTTGCATATGAACCAAAGTTAGAATACACATTAGACAGGGACTTCAATTTTTTTTTAATCAATAACTCAAACATTTTATTAATTTAAGAAGGAAAAATAAGTACAACACACCCAACAATTATATGATTATATTCATATCTCTGGTTAACCACCCAACAATTATTCAGGGACTTTAAAATGGATGAAAATGTAAGAGCAAGGAAAACTCTTGAAAGGTTAATGACTAAGTAAAGATGCAAAAAGCATTCATAACTAAAACAAGAAATACTTGTTTTAGAAGTAAATCAGATTAGGTCTCATACATAGATTATATATACAACAAAAATTTAATAGAAATATTCCCCTGGAAGTATCTTGCATCTGAAGTCACAGTATAGGTAGTTGTGGTCTGGGGACCATGATGGAGCACATAAGTAGAGGATCAGGACACATTGCTAGATGGGCTGTTAACCAAAATCCGGTATGATATCATCAGTTTCAACCATCTTACTTGAAGTTTCTTTTTTTTTTTTTTGATGAATGAATAGGCAATTTTATTAAAGAGATGAAAAAGGGAGTACAACCAGCCTTGGAGGCACGAGATGCTACCTCCCCAAAGGTACGAGTACAAGCCCAAGCACTGTGAAATTATAGATTAGCCCAATACATAGAAGCCCGAACAACCCCTTGCTTAGCCAAAGAATCTGACAAAGCATTAGCTGATCTGCTGACCCATTGGAAATTGACTGTCATACTTCTTGTTAACAATTTAACTTTCCTCAGAAGATCTCTGTAGCCTCAAGTGACGGTGTCTGGATTCTGCAGCCAACTAACTATTACCTTGGAATCTCCTCCAACTACCAGATTTTCCATTCCATGTTGGCTTGCAATCTGTAAACCTTGTACAGCTGCTAGTATTTCAGCTCTTGTTGAGTCACCCACTCCTACTGGGCCTGAGAATAAAGAGATGATGTTGCTGTTCTTATCCCTCAAGATTCCACCAATTCCAGAAGGCCCTGGATTACCTTGACTACTGCCATCAAAATTGAGCTTGATTACACCTTCTGGAGGAGGAGTCCAACTAGCTTGTAGTCTGGATTTCTTTGACGCTATTGATGCCACTGCTACCCAACTCCTCCAAAAGTCATCGTAGGAAAAATCTACAAACAGTTCTGATGCTTTCAGCCATAGGATGGATCTTGTTAGTATGCATTCCTTAACTTCCTCGGGACTCCTTTCTTTTTCATGGAAGATCCTTGTGTTCCGTTCCTCCCATAAGGTCCATACCATGGCAGCTCTTACGCATTTCCACATAAGCTTCTTGGAGTATTATTTTTTCAGTATTTTCTATGATTATTATTTTTTTCAACATTTTAAGAGTCCTAGTAGAACTTTTCTCCATCTCCCAAATTCAAATTGTATATAGTGAAAACATGTACCCATGTTCATGTTTGAAGCTTGCTTTTGGCCCAGGCTTCATGGTAGGCCACATGAATGGAGGTTCCAATCCTCTAAATTTAAGGAAAGTGGGAACTGATGGGACCCCAAACCACTCTACGGGTCATGTTGACCCAGACCCAAATCCTATCCAATTACATAGAAGGCATGAGCTACTGCCTAAATTTAGGGCAGAAGTGAAAACCTGAGTCTAGATTGTTAGTTGTACCTGCTGCAGCTAAAACCTAGAATTAAGTTCACTAGACCATAACCAATTTTGGTCCCAGCTATCTGGAGTCCTACTTTCCTGCAACCTAGAACACAGACAACATTTTTTGGGTAAAAACATTGGCACCACATAAATGGCTTTTCATGGATAGAAGTACTACTTATATTTGACAATATACACAACATTTTCTTCTTATATGTACCTGCAGACAGTGATGTTCACATAAACATGTGCTGAAAGACAATGGTTTGCATGGGCCCCACCATGAATTCATAGCTATACGCACTACAGCAGACTTTTTTTCTTCACTCAATGGAGCTACAGTCTAGGGGTGATTTATAGTCTGGATACATACATACATACTAAAAAGGAAACAGGTTAATGTAGTGAGAAATGATTTAAGGGCCCGTGATTTAGCAATGAATATGGTACTAAAAAGAACAGAATTGAAGAGCACAATTAATGTAGCCGACCTCATATGGTTGGGACAAGGCTTAAATGATGATAATAGTGATTACATGTAATATATTATAGCTATTTTATATAATATTATATATATTTAAGCTTGTAATATAATAGGTGCTAAGCCCAGCCCATGTTACAGATTACCCTTAGGCTACACAACAAGGGTAGCCTGTTCCCCAAACTGATGTGAACAGAAAAACAAATTACATGTAGCACTTCAAATATACAACAATAAGCACAAGAAATACCAAGCTGAAAACAACAAAACAAGTTAGACTTTTAGGGATTTCAGACCTGAACAAGTAGAACTTCTCCTGGAACAGTTCCACTACAATAATAAGGGCATCAACCTGGCCTCCCATGCAGACACGCAGCGATAGAAGGATTGGAAGGTGCCAAAATGGGTTGACCCCTCAAAACCCAAGCTTCCAATACTTGAAACCCCTAGTTGGGGCCAAGGTACAGCTCAAACAAGAGAGAGAACCTAAAAAGACCCCTACAGACGCAGTCCACTTCTCTTTTATAAGACTCAATGACTTGCTGGAGAAGCCAATTAATATATTTACACATAAACCCCTAGAATGTTTCCCTTTCACAAATAACTCCTGAAGAACAAAGCTAACTTTAAACAGACCCCAAAAGATAACTTTTGTTACAAAAAGACCCAAGAGACCAAAACCCAACAGATGTGCACCCAACTGCCCCTGACCAGAATCTGAATTATAAAATGACGAAAACACCCCTGGACCCAAACTGTCAACAAAATTACCCAAAAAATAACAATTTGGAATCCTACTACAAAAGTCATGCAAATACAGAATACATTCACATTTTTTCTTTTTTTCCTTTTCTTTCTTTCTTTCTTTTTTGGCCTCCTCACAAACAAACCATGTAACCCTTGCCCCAAAATCCTGGTGAAGGTGGGAATTAGATCCTAAGTCTCAGTTTATATTCAAGCTTGTTCTATGAATAGGCCACCTATAAGAATTTAGCCCAGTTTGAGGTTGGCTATTGGCACATCATTTAAAATTTTACATCTGCTTTTACAAATTTGGACAAACAGAAACTGTTGGGAGACACATGGCTACCTGGGCCTAATCTTTTTTTTATAGGAAACGGTGACTTTCATTGAAGTTAGTTTAATACAAAAATACAGCTGTCAACCACTCAAACACAAGGGTGCTGAGCCCAAAAAACAAACTTAAGTTACATTACTGCCCAAAACAAGTTTTCTCTAAAAGTCCCTTGCTTTGCCAACATATCGACTAGCCCATTAGCCAACCTTCTGACCCAATTGAAAGAGACTCCTATCTCCCTTGCTAGCCAATTTATTTCCCTCACAAACCATCTATAGACCTATACCCCCCAACTTTGTGATTGCATCCAACCAATTACTAGCTTAGAATCCCCTTCTGCCTTGATGAAGGACCATTTGCTTAGCCAGCCTTAAGCCTTGGAGTGAAACCAACACTTCCACTCTTAGTGAATGGTCAAGCCAATATGCCACGAGATCAACCCCTTTGGCCACATTGGAATAGTGGATTACTGTCACTCACCCATGTTTGGTAATCTCATTTTCTTTTAAGAAATAAATTCATAAAACCTAAAACATTAAAACCTCTTATAATGCTATTGCTATGGCACATAAATAATAGCTTGTGGGGCAAAGTATGCATCACCATACATAGCAGATTTTAACTCCTTAGCCTCTTAATTAACTGCCCTCAACTCAACTAAGCCTTAACCCCAACTATTAAAGATCAGTCACATGAATCCTGTCCTTCCATTGTGCTCTATCAAAATCATGTTTTCTGTTAGATTGCAAGTCCTTGGGTCATTTCTTACCACTTCAACCTACGTCTCGTACTTGCACCAAGTCATTATTAACCAACTCCCCTATATGAAAAAATTGTAATGCCTACTTTGAACCTGGATACACATTTTGACCTCTTAAGACTTCTATCCCACTGTAATATTGTAAACCAAAGGTCTAATGAAAATTACCAAATTAACTCCAAAAGAAAGAAATAATTTGCCCCAGAATCAACTATATGAGGGGGAATCCAACCAAGACACCACTGATTCACATTGATTACCAGAACGCAAGGGAGGAATGTCTTGTAGACATATTAAAACCTGTTGTGGAGATTGGAGAATCATGGGGTGCAATTATCACCTTGTAAATTTAGATCCTTAATTAAAAATCAAAATCAACAGGTAAATACCAGCTCCACCCCTAAGGTCAGCACTGCTTAAGCAAAAAATGAAATTTCAACTAAATTGGAAATTCTCCTAAACTACTAGGGAAAGGGCAAGTTTAAAGAAAAACTAAGGATCCATTTGGTTCACAGTTCGAATTGGAATAGGAATTGGAATCGAAATCCATTGGAAAAGAATTGGAATGGTCTATTCCCCCTGCCTGCTTGGTTTAGACAGGAATCGGAATTAGAACCGGCAGAAATGGATTCTCATTCCCAATGGAGGGGGAGGGAATAGTCATTCCCTCAAATGGGGGGTGTCATTCCACCAGGAATGGGAATGGGATTCTGATTCCACCCAACCAAATGGTTGGAATCGGAGTAGACCATTCTGATTGCAATTTCAAACCCCATTCCTGCAAACCAAACAGGCCCCACTCCAAAATCCAAGATAATCAGGATACTTACACCCTTCTATCTGGCAAATTTAACCTTACTTTGTTCAATTCATCCCCCATATATCCTGAAGCTCTAGCTTATTGTGTTGCATTTTCAGAATATTAACTGCCTTAAGGTTGTTATACAACTTCCAATAATCACCTTTAATAAATAGTAAGAGACCCTGACCCTGTACTTCCAAGTAACAATCCTATATCTAAAGATTTAGTCAACTTCTGCTCCACCTTCTTCTTTTCCCATCCTGTTCTCTTCTTTTGCAGTTTCACCAAGCAATCTTTGAGAGGCTGAAGTACACAGTTGCAAGTTAGAGATTGTTTTTTCTTTTTGTGAAAAGGTAAAGTATTTTGTATTTGATTGTAAAGATGGTTGTACATGGGGTGACAAGACCCAAGTTCACTAGAATCTGTATGTAACAAAAAGCACATTAGTTGAGAGATTATAAGCCTTTTCCCAAGAATATATTTTTGCTAACATGTTCTCCCCAGCTAAAGTGAAGAAGGATTGCCAGCACATGGTTCCAAGTTTGCCTGCTAACATGTTCTTGTGAAATATTGCATAAAGGACAGTTGGAGAGGTGACTGGAATTCCTCTTTTTATAAGCTTGTGTTTAGTGAGGAATTTACCATGAACCGCAGTCCATAACAGAAAAGCAACTTTAGAGACTAAATAATATCAGCTGAGTAACATTTAATTTCTTGTTCACTGCAGTAAAAGAATATGCATACACCAAGTAAGATACTAAGACAAGCTCATAATATATAACATACAGATATTAAGAGAGAATCTTCTACAAAAAGCCAAAATATCAAACATTTTGAAAGTACAAAATTCCAGATTGAGTCACTTAGCCCAGAGCAAAACAAGTTATGGTTTCCTCCATATATCCACAAGCAATCAACAGCTTAATCAAAACTAGGAATCTTCCATCATAAGTGATAAATGACAATTCTAGGAAAGCAGAAACTTTGCAACCCAAATGGTATAGAGAACAACTTCACACCGAAAAAAGAACTATACAGTTCTAAAATATGCAAAACTAAAAATTTTCATCATCAGCTATATCACCAGTCACCAAATGAACTTTGTAATTATGATTAGTGTATTTTATGAACTCCTTTCATATATATTTTCTGGAGGGGACGAGGGGTAATGTACTTACATTCCCACCAGGTATTTTTTATGTTAATAAAATTGACAGTGGCCAGTTGTCCACCCCTCCTCTGGGAGTAAAGCTTGGGGTATAAAAAAACCAAATGACTTTTGTAGGAGGCACGTGGATCAGCATTACACAGTCACCAACTCTTTCATAAATAAACCAAGTCTACAGACTTAACACTATTCATCTATCAATAAAAGCTTGAGTAGAATAAACAATAATGATTACCTGAAAACACAGTACACATGCATCACGAAGAAAAACATAATTTAGGTTTACCTGTGCAGTAAGGTTTTGGACCAGCAGACGATGATCGAAAGGAAGGTGGATGCTAGCCTTAATAGCAACAACATTCAAATATGATTCCCCTGTATTTTTTATTAAAAAACAACCACTAAGGAAAGCTATGGATACAGCTAAGTGTGCCAAAATAATGAAAGGGTCCATTAAGATCAATAATCTGATTTGTGAACAGAGGTGATGCATGGTGGGCCTTGAAATAAAGAACAAAAACTAGAACTTGAAGCCGCAATTGGCTAAAAAGCTTACCTTCATTATTTACTCCAACTAGTATTTCAGCCTCTTCCCCTGCTGGCACCACTGCAGAACACAAAAGGAATTTAAAGACTCGATCCTAAGCAAGTTAAATTATACATACAAAAGAAAATTGATGGAATCAAATGATATACAAATTGGCATCTTCTGCCGGTGAAACTCTTACAGCGTGCTGCATTTTTTGGGAAAACGTAGACAGTTTCGACTCCTGGAGCTGGACTAAAACTCCCATCACCATAATCCTGGACATCATCACCAACAATTCCGAGATCACCTCCTCCAACAACTTCGGTCACTTCAACTTCCGACTCAGATTGACACTTAACAACTGTCGACAAACACAGACCAGCGAGCACACTGATTAGACATAACGTTGTCTATATAAAATGCAAGGAATTGACAACAAAAGATGGGTACATGTTTTTCAGACTCAATTGGGTCCAAAATATAATCTAGATCGAAGGGCGCAATCATGTATGTACCAGAAGTCAAAATAAATGAAAAGTTAAACGAAAATCTGCCCAATCCGTCTAATAAAACGGCATAAACCCGAAATGAAAGAAATCGCTTCAACAACAAAGAAAGGGACAGTTCATATAAATATAGATTATACAAACATTTTATTATCGGCATATAAATAATAAATAAATATAGAAATAGAAACATTATGGCAACTCGAATGACAAACTAAACAAGCTCCATAGAAAGGGAAGAAAAGATTAAAAACAAACAAACAAACAACAAAAAATCGCACTCGCAGAAAAGCTGATAGGACCATCACAAATGAATATAAGTTTCTTACTAGCCGCCAGCCAAAATTCACAGTAAAATTCAAGTAAATCTTAAAACAGCTAAAATTTTGAAGGTAGCATATCAGAGTTCTTCCTGATGCATACATGCACACAGAGACAATACGAACAAAACTCCAGTGAAGTTAAGGTGGACCGATCTTAAAACCAAGACATTTCTGACGCCAATAAAAATGAAAACCAGAAACCAAAAGCAAGCAAAACTCGTTCAGATCTGAAAATCAGGAAATAAGAGATCAAGAAAAATTACCTTGGAGGAAAAGAGATGAGATGAGGAGAAGAGCCAACAAGAAAACCCTAATTGCCATTGGAACTCGTCTGAAACGAGTTACGAGTGCACAAGCTCTCGAACCAGCGCACGATAAGCAGAAGAATGGCTGTTGACTATTTTTGCTTGTATTTTCTAGTTTAACCTCTGTAAGACGAATTCGCGCTCAGGTAAAAAAACAAGGACAAAATCAAAAAAACCAGCACTCAGCAGCCCACAAACGACCAAACGGCGACTACCAACTCCAAGTGCTCTTGATTCACTGCAAGGCTGAAACATGCAAGAAATATCAAATAGGCAAGGAATATTAAAATTGACATATTTTAATTTTTAAATTAAAGTGCGGTTTTTAGAAAACCAATAATTTTTTTCTTTTTTTTTTGAAGAGAATCCAACCATAAATTTTCTTTAAATTTATCTTTTCAGTTAAAAAAAAATAGAAAATAACTGTTCAACCCAGAATCAGAATTTATGTGAATTCGGAATTAATATTGGGCTGGCGTTGATGATAGAGTGGGGTTTTTTAATATTTTGAATGTTTATAAGTTTATAATGAAATTTAAAAATCTGCATGGATCTGTCCGTGCTTTTCCGAAATGCTTCCTGACTGTGCATCGGGCTGTTGAAATAAATAATGATAACGTCTCACTAGTCATAAAATATATGGGCTATGACCGTCCAAAATTTGGGTCCATGTATTTTATAACTGATGTAGTGTGTTGTCATTGTTTCGACAGCCCATCATTAGTAATTATTAATAATTTAATAAATTGAATTAATTATATTAGTAATTTTTAATAAAAATAATAAATTATTGCTAATTATTAAATAAAATAATTATTTTTCTTAATACATGAGACCAGACAGCTTTGTATGGGTTATTTCGTATAAGGTGAACATGTTGGCTAATAAGGTGTGACACCAATGACACAGTGAGAGGTTGAATGGATGTGGATGCATTCATTTTATGATATTATAATTGATTACACAATCCATTGAATACTTATTGCGTTCAGTTAATTTATCTCGGCTTGGCCATTTGAAAAAACCAACCCTGTTTTGAAGCTTTATGTGGTATTAGTCAAGATCCAGTTTATTTAAGCTCAGTTTGGAAAGAGTATAAATATAAATATATATAATATAAATGTATATAAAATAATATATAATGCAAGGTTTTGTACTCTATAAATTTGTATTTAAACTCCTTCTAAATTGAGTCTTATAAGCAAAATTGAGGATGGACCTCTATGACATTTCCAATTATGCCATGTTCATCTAAGTTCAATTTAAGTATTGTTTTTTGGTTATGACTATTTTATCCAATCACAATCTAAGTTGCATTTTAGTGAGAGTTGTCAATCCCCTATTCTCTAGATAGATTTTTATTTTTATTTTTTGGTATCTTAATGCTAATTTTTAAATATATATATATATATATATATATATATTGGGGACCCATGAGATGCACAAGAAAACCCAATATCCTATTTGATTACAAAATGTAATAAAATGATAGTCACCCACATGGTAAACAAAAATAACAATCAATGCTTTAAAAACTAACCCGGAGGCCAAACCATTTTTTCTTTGGGTCATGGGCCATTGGTTCGATCATTTGGGTCAGATGGGCCAAATCATGCCACATTATGTCAAACATATGTTTAATTTATATTTTTAATATAATTTTTATTTTTTACTTGTAAAGATGCTAAAATTTGCAACTTGGATCCCAAAAGAGGTTTTTTTTTTTTTTTGGGCAAAATAATGGATCGTTTGATGCCTTTTGACACATAGATCTCAAAAAGTTACCCAAAATCAAAGATATAAAAAATATCACCTGAATCTGACATCCAAACGCAAAGCTTTGGCCTCCAAATTTTTGCACATACATTGAGTGTGCAATCCGTGACTTATTGATCGGGTCAAATAGATTAATGGTTCAACCACCAAGTTGGATGGTTTTTGCCCAGCTAGTTGGTTTCATGCAAACCAAACCAGCAATATTGACCAAGTGACAATTTGAACAGTTATAAATTACACTAATTTCTGATAACTTTCAATAAATAATGGTTATAAATAAAAAATAACAACAAACTACAATAAAATTTAAATAACAATAATAGTTACAACAAACGAAAATAACAATATTTTTTGTTAACTGAATAAAAGCAAAGTAGATAACAATATATACTAACTAAATAACAATAAATTACACTAACTTTTGATAGTATTCAGTAATTCACAATTATAAAAAAAATATTGAGAATTATTTTTCCATTGAAATTATTAATTAAAAAACTAATAATTATTATTTGTTTTAATTGAAGGAATTTATTTTCTAAAATAAACCAAATAGTAATTAATGTAATTAATTACAATTTTCAGGAAATCTTGAGTTATTTTTAATTAATTTCCTGAAATTATCAAATAACTGAAATTATTTGTTTTAATTACACCAAAATTAAATAACTAATAATTATTATTTGTTCTATATCAGGGAAATTATTTTCTCCAAAATTAAAAAATATGTATTGATTAATGTAATTAATTACAATTTTAGGAAATTATTACAAATAATTGAAATGATCTGTTTTAATTACACCAAAATCAATTAAGGTAAATAATTTTCTCTGAAAACAAAATATTAATTAATGTAATTAATTACAATTTTCAGGAAATTATCAGACATTTTAAATAACTGATAATTATTAATTTCCTAAAATTATCAAATAATTTCCTGAAATTATTTGTTTGGATTACACAAAATTAATTTAAATTATTTTTAATTATTTTTTTTACTCAAAGGAAATAATTTTTTAAAAAATAATTACACACGTTAATTTAATAAATATTGTTACAATAATAATAATTATTTTTGTAATAAATACTCCAATAATTATTAGAAATAAGTAATAAGTTAATTAGTAAATTACTGTAAATATATTTTCTTTCGAATTACATAAATAAATGGTTAAATTTTTTTAACTTTTATTAATTTTCCTAAAGGTATTAAATAATGAAAATTATTTGAGACCAAATTTATTTAAGTGAATTAGATTATTTTTATTTATTTGATTTAATGAAATAAATGATAAAATAATAATGAATAAAACTGAAATTATAGAAAAAAATGGATGTAGAACCGGGTCTGGGTCGAAATATCCAAAGTCCGACTACTTTGACCTTCTTCTTGACCCGAATTTCATCGTAGTGGTTGCACGACGCAACGACCACAGTAGTGAAATAGTGGCTGATTTTGGGAGGTTTTTGGCAACGGAAAAAGTGTCCACTTGCAAGAATGACGCGGGCGACCATTATCTATAGCAAAGCTGGCTAAAAATGGTGCTTTGATCAAACTTGGTGGTTGTGAGGAAGTCGGTGCTATGCCCTGTTCAACTTGAAATTCCCAAATGAGTGGAAGCCATTACATTTGAGGATTTCAAGTTATAAAAACTTGGTGAACCGTTACATTTGAGTATTTCAAGTTACAAAAAGTGGAAAAAGTTGGAGATCCACCCCTGTATACAGTGAAGAGAACATTTCAGCTGGCAGCCATTAATAGCTATTCGACTCAATTGGCAGCTATTACATTTTAGGATTTTTCAAGTTACAAAGTAATCAAAATTGGGTGCTCGTTTTAAAAGAACTCAGTGGTTGGAAAACATACCTGGGACTGGGAGGCAATGTAGAAGAAATCGGGGCTCCACCTCTATTCTCTGAATCTCCATGATCAAGCTTCAAATTCTCGATGTCAATGGTTAATCTCCACAATGCTTCAAATTTTGAGTGTTTACGATTAATCTCAACGATAAAACTGTATTCAATTGGGAGGAAAATATGTTTTCACATTAAACTACTCGGTCTGCTATGTGGCCAGGTTGAATTGCAAGAAAGTAAGATCAGAGGTCCTGGGATACTTTACCCGGTGTGGGTATTCCAATTAATGCTAAAGTTAGTGAAGAGCTTTTGTAGAGAGCTAATTGCTTTGAATGCTAGTGAGACAGCTAAGTTGCGAGTCTCTTACGAGGCTAGAGGCAACGCCTTTATATAGGCGAGTTACCCTGAGCCTCACGAAACGTGTCCGATATCACCGGCCTGCATAACTCAGAGTCTGTTTCGCACCCGAAGATGAACTCTATGTAAGTTGATAAGCCTTATCCGGGTCCCTCTGATCTGGGCGGGATAAGGATAAGGTTCATTGACTTGTGGCATGCTTCCAAGGAGATCGGAGACGATTGGCTTGTTTCTAAAAGGAGATTATGTGGCACCTCTGCACGGGACCCTTGTCTTAGCTGACTGACCCGAGGTGACTTGGATTGCTGAAGTGTTCAAGAGAGTTGTCGTGTCATCTAGTCAATAAGTTGCTCCACGTGTCATCGTATTACAAGTTAGGCCAAATTGTCCTCATCATAAAGAGAACGGATTTGGTTGGAAGGGAAATAGTTTTTCTTGTTAAATTGGGTTCAGAGAGAATAGAGAAGACACGTGAATGGGATTGCCACTTGTTAAATTGGATTCGGAGACTTAGAATCATGTTTATTTCTAAGCGACTTTGTGGTTGTTAGTTGGGGTGGGAAAGTTGAAATGTGAATGGGATTGCCACTTGGCCTATTGGGAGGCTTGGGTAGGGAAGGGAAGGGGAGAGAGAGAGAGAGAGAATGAGATAGCCAAAAAGGGCCAAAGGGGTAAGGAGAAAGGAGAAAGGGGAATGGGAGAAAGAGAGGGCTGCCGAAGTGGAACCTAATTGTTTTATATATATATTCATCATATTAAGCAAAAGTAAATGTGAAAATAATAATTACTTTTATTAATGATGAAAATGGAATACAAGATTTAAAATTAACCGAAAAGCAAAGTGGTTTTCCATCCAAATAGTGGGTTAGTGGTTTAATTGTCCATGTCAAATGGATCAACACATGATATTATAATTAAATAATAAAATACATAAAGTTCTAGAAAATATAGAAATTTGGGCACATTCTATAATATTATATATTCATCATATAAAAAAATGTGGTAAATGAGAATTATTTACATTAATGATGGAAATGAAATAAAAATAGGAGAAAAAAAATAAAAAACATATGTTTAACACATGACCCCCACTAACCTTGTCAAATGGTTCAATGATTTAATTAGCTAAATCACCGTAAGCAAGTGGTTTGGTGGTAAACGGACTTACAATCATGAATTGAGTGTGTGGATTGATCAATTTAATCAATTGATTTGACCACAATATTAAATATTCAAATAGTATATTGGAATTGCATTTCCTTCCG